TATTTTAATTAACCCATCCTCCTGTTTAGATAGTACCTGTTGTGACAATTGCCAATAGTTACGAATTTGTACGTACTTAGATTTTTAGTAGTGTACTGACTAGTAAGGAATTCATTTAAATAAATAAAAAAAGCTAAGACACAATCTTAAATATTCCTAGGCCTAGTATAGCACACACATGTACTGTACTATATTAGGCCTCAGATATTGTGTATTAGGCTTAGGGAGGTTAGGTTAGGTTAATTTAGTTTGTCAAAGCAACACAAGTAAAAAATAGTTTTCTGGTTTGTCCAACTCAATATTTCAGATTTCTACTTAATAATTTTGTTGTACTTCGGTGTATATTCTATGATCCTCACCGTTACTATAAGTAATATCAAAACAGGAGGATGTACTGATTTTAACAGATGCAAGTGCAGTACCAAAAATACTATACCTGTAATAATATTTTAATGGGAATGTACAAATACAGTATACGTGTATGTAGGAAATAATGAAATGTTAAGTTTTGTAGAGATGATAACTGTAATATTTTTATAGTGGCAATATATGTAACAGAGAAATTTATACTTACATTTTAGTGCTCAGGTCAAGTCTTGTACTGTATGAGCTCGGTTATCCGAAGCCCACTGAACTGAATATTTGGGTTATCCGGCCAAAATCGCATCCTGATAATTTTCTGGCAATACAGGGTACATTGCTATGTCCGGACAGAAGTCTGGATAATAAAAGATTTGACCGGATAATGCAGACTGGCGTAGAGCCTAAGTTAAGTCCAGATAATTGTCTGGCAAAACTTTGCCATATCTGGACAGAAATTGGGAGATTTGGTTATGTAAATTTTGAAGAGCTATATATTTCAAGATCTACAGTAGCAAACAAGACGATGAACTACAGCAACATAAGCTAAAGTTTCTGTTTTAAATTATATGTTTTATTCATTTTCAGTGTGAAATTCAAATTATGTTGGTTGCGGCACAAAAAACTGTGTACTGTATATGGTAATTTTTGAACTTGCCTAGTAACAATTCTGCTTATCCGGATGTCTGGCTTGTCCAGTGAGGACATCCCATATAGCTTGGATAAGTGAGCTTAGATAGTATTCCTCAATGGCCATTGAATGGGTATTGTAATTCATGATAATACAAAAAAATTGGAGACAAATGGATTTTTGGAGCATATCCCATTAAGTTTGGTGGATATTTCTTCTCTCTGGAGGTTTCACTTGTCTTGTCTTCCTCAGTTTGGGTGAACCTCTTTCCATTCCTCCTGTGAGATCAGGTACATCTGGCCCCCCTCCTCTCTACCCCACAACTTCTCTCTTAGCTCATTAAGCCAATGCTGATACTGTATGTTAATTTCCAATAATGTTTTTGAGTGCAACTCAAATAATAAATAACAGCATTTAGGTCTAATTGCGATAAGATAAAAACTATAATTATCTTGGTAATTATGCTATGATTTGGTGCAATTTTTTTTAGAAAAACAATTATAATAGGGCTACTGTATATACAGTAGCTGACGGCTGGGTGGACAGTGCTCGGAATTTGTAGTCCTAAGGTTCTGGGTTTGATCCCCCGGCGGAGGTGGAAACAAATGGGCAGAGATTCTTTCACCCTGATGTACCTGTTTACCTAGCAGTAAATAGATACCTTGGAGTTTGACAGCTGCTACAGGCTGCTTCCTGGGGATGTGTAACAAAAAAAAAGGGAAAAAAGGGAGGCCTGGTCGAGGACCGGACCACAGGGATGCTAAGCCCCGAAATCATCTCAAGATAACATGGTTTCTGATTCATCCTGGCTTGCAAAAAAAAACTCTGTTTTCCTGAGACTTGGCATGGCCTTTGCTGAACTTGGATGCATGAGTGGTGGGAAGTGAGTTCTATCTTTCAGCTGTTCTTGGGGAGTGTTACTTTTGCACTGCATATGATCTGCTTGTTTGCTATTGTTCTTTCGAAGAATGTGGGCAGGTGGCAGCTCCATGTCTGGCTGCCTTTGCTTTCTGGAGCCTTCACTGCAGAGGATCACAGGACGTGGACTCACTTGGTGGTTGTTGAGCTGTTCTCTGACTAGCTCCATAGCAGCCTTGATCTGGTGTGGCTGCTTTGTTGCCTGTGGTTCTGGCTTCAACTGCTGTGACCATGTCACTCATTCCCCTCTTTTGAGAGGCAGTGGCAGCATTTTTTCCTGGTCTGTCTCATGTGTAGGCAGGCTATGTTGACCAGGTGTTAGATCTGTCTTGGTCTTTTATCTTCTTGTCTGCCTCTCCCTTTTTACACATTCTTTTTATTGAGGAGGCAGTTTCTTCAGTCTTTTTCACTACTACTGTTTCCTTCCAGCCCTCAGTTGGGTTCTTCTGCAAAACCTGTCTCTCAGGTTTTGTGGCAGCTGTTCCTGGTTGGGCTCTCACTGGTTGCTGGTCGGGTTAGGCCTCTGGTGGAGTCGGAGTCCCAGTCTGTTGTGCTTCCTCCATCTGGGGCTTCTTCTGTTCAGCATTGTTCTCAAGTGTTGCAGAAGATGCCTCTGTTTGGGTCTTCATGCTGGCCTTTTTACAGTTCACTCCTTTGATGGTGCTGTGGTTGGGGACATCTGGCCATTTTGCCAGTTCCTGGTCCCATGACTTTCCAGAGTGTTACCCAGGGTCTTCACTGGAGTCCCTGGGCTCAGCTCTGCATTGTCATCATGACATGGTTGGACTTGGGCATGATTGAGTTAACCTTCTCTCTTTGGTGGGTGTTCCGGTAGTTCCTGGTGCCTAAGTGAGACTCGGCAGACGTGCAGTAAATTCTCAACCTCTTGGGATCGAACAGCTTCATTTCCCTTACAACTTTCCACATGACCACTTTTAGCTCAGGTTTACCAGTTGGTGATGCAGGCACTTTCCTGGATGGTGTCCCTGGGCCTCAAGGACACGATCTTATTCACCTGAGGTTCTGGTACTATTTAGTGTTTCTTGTGGTACATCTGGCTTACCACTTTTAAGATTCTTTCAGCTTGAATTGGCCCCCCCCCCCTTGGATTTTTACCAGGTTAGCATGGTTAGTTGTAACCTGGCTACATCTTTGGGGATTTGTGTCTTGGCCTAACTCTGTGGCTGGGTGGTTTTGGCTCCCAGCCAGTCCATGTGTCAGCTGATCAGGGATCTAGTTCTTTCAAAACTTGCCAGGTTTAGGTTCCTGGTGAACTGGCAGAAGGTCTAGTTCATTCCATCACAAGTTCACACCTGCTTGTTTGTGCTTGGTTTGAGATTCATGGTCAACTTCACTTTCTCTTCTTCCTGTGGCTCTTCTCTGCCTGCAGTGCCTCTGATATCTGTGTTGGAGGTGTTGGACTGGCCCTGCATGTTTTGGCAGTGGTTGAGCAGTTGTATGAGAGCCTGAACTATGCCTATGGGGTGTTTTTCGTGGGTAGGGTTTGGTTGTGGGCCTTGTACTGGTTCCAACAGTTCCACCCATTTCACCACTACCAGGATCGTTGAGTTTGAGCCCCATTTGCCCTTCATCAGTTCTTGTATCACTGGCTTCTTCTTTGTGCTTTTCAGGATTTGGTTCTATTTCGCTTTCCTTCCCTTTGCCCCATCACTCAATGTGTTCACAGATGCCTCGACTCTGGGTTGGGGTTTTGTGACCAGTGCTCATCAAGCCTTCCTGGGTTGCTGAATGGGCCCACGCCTTTGAGGAAATAGAATGGTGCACTAGTTTATAGCAATATGGCATGCCGTTCAGAGGATTCATCTAACTCTGGGCTTCATTCTCTGGCTCATTTCTGACTGCTGCTTGGTGGTTTATTTACTGAACAGTGGAAGTCACTTCAGTCCTTCCCTTTTGCAGCTGAACTCTGAGTGTAGCTCAGCTTCTGGATTCTTGAGATTTGACTCTCAGTGCAGTTAATGTCCAAAATTCTCCTAGATGGTCTGTCTCATTTCCATGGAGTGGACCATCAACAGCGTATCATCTCATTGGTTCTGCGAGATGTTCGGTCACCCCCAAGGTTGACTCTTTTTGTGTTGTAGTGGAACATGCGGCTTCCTCCTTAAGTGGTTCCCCAATCACAAAGCACTCCGTGGATGCCTTTCAGTTGGATTGGTTGAGGTGAATGTTATATCTCTTCCTTCTGATGCAGCTATTGTTCAGGGTGTTGTCCAGGTTTGGTACTTGGGGAAAGTGATCCTTCTGGCACCTTAGTGGCTGGCTCAGCCACTAAGCGGGTTCATTTTAGTTATTGAGTGAATTGTCTGTGGAGTTGTTTGCAGTTCAATTCTTTTTTCCAAGTGAACCTTGTATTTGTCTATATTGCTTCACTTACTTTCTGGATGTTTTCTCAGTGAGGGTGATTGTAACAATCCTCTACTTCCTGTGTCTCTGTGAGGAGGGGGGGGGGGGGGGGGGGGGGTTGCAAGGTTCTGACTCTGGTCCCCATTAAGCTATTCAGTACTCCTAGACCTGATGTGACTCATCTGTGTGGAGCTATCTCAATGAGTTAGCTTCAAGGAGCCACCGAGGCCCTACCAGAAAAGAGGTATTTCATTACATAAAATACTGGTTTTATACTTAATATACTTTTCATGTCAAACTCTCTCAATTTACCATAAAGGTTTATTAAATTGTCATTATCGTTAATTTTAAGGTTGATAGATCTACATATTAGTGGAGGGAGGGGGAGATGTATTAATGCACAGGTGAAGATAAATTCACTCTTAGAAGGTAAACGTTTCTGCACGCTGCACAAAATCTGTTTACACTGTAACTACCTAATATATATATAGGTCAGTGCTGCTTAGGCCAAAGGCTACAAAATGGAATATGGTCAAATCTTGATTTGTCCAGACTTGTGACCTCCAAAGAGCCAAATATGTTTAGGGGGAGGATTGGGGGAGCTGCCTACACCATGTCTCACATACTTGACTGACTTGGCAAACCTCTAGACTGATAAATTAATATTGAACAATGAACATTTGCATGTTTCAATCATTCAAAATGCCACTAACTTTTTTGCCATCAGGAGCTCAAAACAGAAGACATGGAAATGTGAGGAAACACACCTCAGATGCTGTATGAAAAACCAAAGAAGCACCAGACATTCAACTAAAACAGATGAACATTCAATGTGACGGTTATGGAATCAGCTCTCTCTCAACACCTGCCAATAAAGATTGTGATGACTATGGATATGATTTTTCCTGGCTCGACTCATTCTCGGGAGCTACAGTGTCTGGATATTACTTGGTAGGAGGTACTAATAAAACACCCAATTCACTTTAACTGTTTAACTGTGTTTGGAGCACAAAAACTTTCTTCCTTCTTTTTATTGCATTTATAATACAAAATAACAATGGCTTATTTGTGACTACTATACAGTACCATTAAAAATAATGATTTGATGATAAAAAATATTATTTTTGAGTTCAAGAATTATTCTATAAAGAATTGCTCAAATAACCTAATTCTAGACCAAACATGTTTCAAGGGCATTGAATATCATATACAAAAAAAAATTAATTTCATGTATTTTAAGTGCACAAAAATATGAGAATAGTTTTCTGAGCATAGTGAAACACCCTTATCATCCACATAAGACTCATTCCTTGCTGGACTTTCATTGATACTGGTAACTGCAAACACTGGGACTTGAGTGGATGAAACCTCAACTTGAATGCCTTGCCATTAGGAGCACTGTTAAAAGGAGCAGGCTCAGAAAGGATCAACATCCACACCCGACACTGATCACACAAATGTGAACCAAAAAGTTTCTGCTCTCAATTGAAGGAACTCTGGAGGTGAAGCTAACTCATGCCAGCACTGAGGGACCAGTTTGCTATAAAACAAGAGTGTGAGCAATACCCTCTTTATTCCTCTGCAAGCTATTAGACAAAAGTGTGAGCAATGTTTTCATCCCCTCCCATCCACTGCAATCAATGATTAGTAACACAACTATTTAATAAACCAAGATACTCTTGCCACCACCAGGTAACAATGCCCCTCTACCATAAGTGCCACCAAAGACTACAAACACATCTTAAGTCCATACCAGCCAAGCAAGTTTGGAAGAGGGGGACAAAAAAGGGAAGGATCAGGAGCATCTTCAAGACTGGCTCAGAAAGGAGTGGTTTACTAAGCTTAACACTCGAGTAGAGGTCTCTTGGATACTGCCTGTGCCAGCTCCCAACTCTGAAGAAAGTTAGGGACTCTACCATAACAAGAAAATGTACAGGACACTTACCTGAGGCATACATGGAATGCAGGGGCTACTTGGAAAGGGAACCAGAGAAATGCCACAGGTACCCACCAGCATCAGAAAGAAGCTAAGTGACCCAATGCTACATAGTGATGTTGAGGGCGATGCATATTAAGGGGATCACAAGATATAAACATGGTTTGGTCTGTAGAACCCATGAGCCTGAATGTCAGACTAGGACATTGGAGAGAAGAAAGCTGTGAGTATATCAAACTTTCTATTATCATATAGTCATCCTAATTGTATGAAACCATGAAAGATAATTCACATTCATTTGTCAGCACAATTCAAATGTGAACTGCATTGAGGACTAAATCCCAGGAAGCCAGAAGAAAGGCTACATGTAGTGTCCAGCACTATAAAGTGAAAAAATTTAAGTATTATCACTTCCTCAATGCACCACCTGAGAAATATCAAATTACACCTACAGTACAAAGACTCAGGAAAGTGAGATGTACTGCAGCACCATCCAAACCACCATCATTACTCTTATGTTGATTTAATAATTAATAATTCATTGTATCAGGGGACAGGAAGCCAGAGTGTATTCATACACCTTTGGCTTTAATTGAGGTTCCCCCCCCCCCCCCAAGGCCAAATTACTGACCCCACTCAGGATGCAACCCCACAACAAGCTTACTAACTCCTGAGTACCTACTCACTGTTAGGTGAAAGGAAATGTGCCCAACCATTTTTGTCCCGCACGGGGTTTGAACCCGGAATTCTCGATTGTGCGTCGAGAACAAACCTGACTGTGCTACCAGGACCTAATACCTAGTAGTACCGACTGGGAGACCATATCTCCGATATGAGAGCATAATAATACTAGTTAACATCTTTGGCCAAACCACAGCGGAAACAATCCTTGAATCATCAGCTAAAACTGGCCCCTCCAGGGCCGGCACGGTCCCAATCCTAGAGGTGCATGGTGGCAACACAAAATGCAATGAAGGATAGGAATCTCGATGTCAAAAAAAAAGTGGAACGGGGGAAAATGAATGAAATTAGGGTATGAGGTGTCCCTTTGAGAGCCTCAATAGCCTCTTTCATAAAAAAAGAAGGCACTGAAAAATCCCCTCATGCTGACATCTTGGACCTAAAGCACCATTACTAAAATTCAATATTTTACAATAGAAATGCCATACCATAAGCAGGATGGAACACTTTTCACACATGTAGGTGAAAAAGGTCCTACTCCCAATAAAAGAAGGTTTGGTAGCAGCAGGAATGAGCATCCAGGGAAATTGCATACAGCAGAATGAGGCTCAAGATTGGTTGTTGACACCACAGCACGACCAGCATTAGGACAGACTCATGGTAAAAAATAAGTCACATTAGGTATTTACTCAGTACAGTATTCCTAACTAAACCCATGCAATGAGAAAAGGCTAAGACAGTCCAGGGCTAAATAAAAATAAAAACCAAACAGCACATTGCACTGAAGCATAACCAGAAAGGACTTAGCCACCCTACTAGGAGGATATAGTTCCCTATGTGTGTGTACTTTCCTAATTTGCAGGGGGGTTTGAGCTTTGATTCTTGAGTCCCACCACTCAACTGTCAATCATCTGGTACTCACCTAGTTGTGCTTGCAGGGGTTGCGCTTTGTCTCTTTGGTCCTGCCTCTCAACCGTCAGTCAATTGGGAATGATGTAGAGGCTACTGTGCCTGTTGGGCTCTATTATATCTACTGTATATTTGAAACTGTATTTGGAGTCTACTTCCACCATCTAACTTCTGACATTGAGCAAATTCTTTCTAATGTCTGTGGCTCTTTTGGTCACTCAATTTCCACCTGTATTTCCCCGTTTGAGTACCAGTTTATGCTAAATAGTCTTTCCATGTCTATCCTGTCAATTCCTCTGAGAATTTTGTCCTCCTGTGATGTGAGGTTTAATTCTTTTATCTTTTCCTCGTAACTCATATGTTTTAGTTTTGGTACTAGTCTGGTACAGCTGAGGAAATGTAATTCCTTACCCCTTGATTTCGTGGAATGTGCAAAATGGCAACGTCGTGTTTGTTGTTGTTATAGTAATGGATTAGATTACAAATATGTAAATAAGTTCTTTACAATGACGAGTCTCATTGGTCAAAACACTACTCACTGGTTTTTATAATTCACAGCTATCAAAAGAAAAATAGTGTAGAGCAGTGAATAAAAATTAATATATGTAGCTTAGTGAAAAAAAAAGAGATGGCTTTGCTTTTGTGCTTAAGAGTTTATTGACCTTTTATGTAAACGATACAGTGTATGATAATTTTACATGACATGATAATTTTTTATTTGGCTGTTGAGACAGGCAACGTGACGTCACACACACAAAATGCTACCTCGATCATCATTGGCCATCAATCAACAACACACAATTTTTTTTTTTTTCAAATTAAAAGGGATTTGCAAACATTTACATTTATGAATAAAGTTGATATGTTTAATATGAATAAAGGTATTAAGAACTAATCAATATCAGAAATAGACAGGATAATCAGAAAGTATTATACTAATTCATTATCATTTAATATTACTGACAGCTGGAAGACAAGGTAAAATGAATAGGGGACTATGTGATATGTATTTGATTCCTGAAAACAACTATTCTTAAGTTAATAAGGTAATTAAATACATTACATAATGGTATGCATTATTGACCAAATAATCATGTGACAGGAGAGACACAGACAGACACAGAACTGGCTCCCAGAACTGAAGGACAAGAGCTATGAGGAGAGGTTAGAGGCATTAAATATGCCAAAACTAGAAGATAGAAGAAAAAGAGGCGATACACTTTGTACAAAATTGTAACAGGAATCGATAAAGTTGATAGGGAAGAATTCCCAAGATCTGGAACTTCAAGAACAAGAGATCATAGATTTAAACTAACTAAGCAAAGATGCCGAAGAAATATAAGAAATTCACTTTCGCAAATAGAGTGGTAGACGGTTGAAACAAGTTAGGTGAGAAGGTGGAGGCCAAAACCGTCAGTAATTTCAAAGCGTTATATGACAGAGTGCTGGGAAGATGGGACACCACGAGCGTAGCTCTCATTCTGTAACTACACTATGGTAATTACACATAGGTAATTACAGACACACAGACAGACATAGACTTACCTCTGAACTTTCCATATATTTGAACTTTCTCTAACTTCATCTTATGTTTGACTAAGTGAGGCCTCCATGCTATAGCTGTATATTCAAGGATTGGTTTGATCTATGTGATATGCAAGGTCCCAAATTATTCCTTCCTCAGATTTTCTAAAAATAGCCAACCTAGTGTTTTATGTTTTGTCACGAATTTGATTTAGATTTTATTTGAATTAGACTTCAAGAGATAAGTTCAGCATAAAATCAATGCTCAGATCTTTCTCTCTGCCCAATTATTGAAGAATTTCTTATTCTACTGAGTACCTTGCATCCAGTTTCCTGTTCTCTACACCTAGTTTCATTACTTTGTACTTAAGTTCAATTTTAGTAGCCATTTGTTTCACCATTCTTACTTTCATGACTCATTTATTTGTCTCTTCTACTCGCTTTCCATTATATAGTTCAATAATGATCCAGGACGGATGAAAAGTCATTGTTGCTTCATTTTCTGATGTGTGGTTTAGTCACCTAGTATCAGAAACAGGATAGGTCCAGGTACTAACTCCTGTGCAGTCTGCTGGTGATATCATGCCACTCCGAGATCTCTTCCCTCACTCACTATTCCCTTTTGCCTAGATAATCCCTTATCTGTTGACATTGCCCTACCTGGATTAGAATTGATGTGGTTTTCTGCATCTCTTCCCTTTGGTTCAGCTTCTCCCCACCCCTCCCCGTCCTTTTTGGACTGGAGACATGTATTGGTCGGATGATCCTTCTGGCTCCTTGGTGGTCATCCCACCCTTGATTTCTGGGCCTTTGGACTCTCTTGCCTGAACTAGCATGTCTTTCTGAGGCCTTGTCTTTTTTAGAGGATCAGTCGGGAGATGTTCCTAGATGGTTTGAGTTTCACTGCT